CACACACACACACACACACACAAATAAATAAATAAAAATTTTTAAAAAAAAGTGAATGAGTGTTAAAGAGATTTTTTTTGGTCTACATTGTTTTATTTATTTGAAATTTTCTTTTTTATTATATTTTTATAGGTACATGTTTGCAATACATGATTACATTTCTTGTGGAGCATTGATACATATACATAACAGATCTTAATTCTGTTTTCATCCTCTTTTCTACTTCTTCCACTTTTCTCCATCTCACACTGAGAGATTTCGTGGTAATATGTTGAAACAATTTTATAAATGTTAGAAGTAATATGTAATGAAAAAAGTTATGGAATATAAGAGTTGGAAATTAAGTCATTAATCCGGTAATCTTTTAGAATTGAAATCCAGAAAGTTGAACAGATTATTTAAGAACATACATTTTTGGTAGCAAAGGTGAAACCAAAACTCTAGAATCCAGATGTAGTAGTCATTAGGAAATCTTTCATAAAGGGAGAAGAGAAGGAACTCAATTGATAAAAACAACCAATAGAAATTTGGATAGCAAGGGCCAGCCAGATAGCTCAGTGGACTAAAGCGCCTGTTTAGGCAGAGCACAGCGGTCGGGGTTCAATCCGCAATGTGTCAGTCTGGACCCACCCTCAACCCCAGGGCATGCTTAGACATTGATTGAGACTGGGTGTGGTGGTGTGTGCCTGTAATCCCAGAGTTTGGGAGACTGAAAACAGGAGAATCACTATGAGTCCAATAAGTGCAGTATGACCCTATATACACCCTGTAGACCTGTACTAAAATTTAAAAAAAGAAAGAAATTTGGATAGCAATAGTAAGATAGTAAGGGGTGTGTGTGTGTGTGTGTGTGTGTGTGTGTGTGTATGAAGTTAAAGGTTCAGTGATTGTTAAGAACCAGAGGTATGAAGTTGTCTGTAAGAATATATGACTTGGGCAGGGAGATGGCTCAGTGGAATAAGCGCTTCCCTGGCAAGCGCAAGGGCCTGAGTTCAATCCCCGGTTCTGCAAAAAAAAAAAAAAAAGAATATATGACTACTTGCTTGCTTGGCAAGCACAAGGTCCTGAGTTTGATCGCTGGTACCACAAAAAAAAAAAAAAAAAGACTATATGACTACTTACCATACTGTTGTTTCCACCCCAGCCCTAAACTTTTGACAGCTAATTTTCTCTCTTAAGTACTGTAAGAAAGTCAAGGCATTTTTTTTTAGTCCTGATCCCTGTAGTTTGTTCATTCTGCTGTCTGTCTTTCTCTTTTTTAATATATTTCGTAAGGGTCTCACTACACAGCTCAGACTCTTCAGTGATCCTCCAGTTTTCAGCCTCCCCAGCGCTGAAATTACAGGCCTGTGCCACCACACCTGGACACTGACCAGCGCAGCACATGGTGCCTGGGATCAAACCCCAGTGCCTGCAGTTGCCTAAGTAGGCACTTAATCTGCTGAGCTATCTCACTAGCCCCTCTACTATATTCTTTTTTCTTACCTAAACTCCCAAGCTAGGCTTTTTCTTTTCCTTGTACCTTTTCTTTGTTTTGAGGCCTTACTGCTTTTATTTGAGAAATTGTTCTTTAATCTTCTTCCTCTTTTGTCTCTTAGTCCTGGGAGTTGAACCCAGGATCTTCACACTAAGTTACATTGGCAGCCCTTAAAAAAAAAAAAAAAAAAAAAAAAAAATTAAATCAGCGATCTAATTATGTTATTTTCTCTTTTTTTTATTTTAGGGAAAGGTCTACAGGGTGTTCAGGGTCTCACTACTAGATTGGACTCACAGTGATCTGCCTGTTTACAGCCTCCCAAGAGCTGGGATTATAGGCACATGCCACCATACCCAGTCTCAATTGCTGTCTCAGCACACCCCAGGGCTGGGGCCAGCATGGCAGGCCCAGGGATTGAACCCACAGCCCCTGCACCTGCTTACAGGTGCTTTAATCTGCTGAGCTATTTGGCTGGCCCTGATTATGTTATTCTCTATTCTTCTGCTTTAAAGAGTTTATCAGCTTCCCATTGCCTACAGAATAACACTCAACAGGTGAATTTCCCTAATGAACATAGATACAAAAATCCAGAGTAAGGTAATGGCAAACAAAATGCAGCAAATTATCAAGAAGATTATATATACACCATGAACAAGTAGGATTCATTCTAGAGATGCAGGATGGTTCAACATATATAAATCAATAAGTATATGTAGCCGGGGAGATGGCTCAGTGGAATAAGCGCTTCCCTGGTGAGTGCAAGGGCCTGAGTTCAGTCCCCGGTTCCTCCAAAAATAAATCTTAAAACCAAAATAACACAAAAGGAATCCTTTGGGGCCGGGGAGATGGCTTAGTAGGATAAGCGCTTGACTGGCAAACGCAAGGATCTGAGTTCAATCCCCGGTTCTGCAAAAAAAAAAAAAAAAATAAGTATATGTAACATTAACAGAGCCAAGGACAAAAATCATATGATCATTTTAGTAGATGCAGAAAAGGCTTTTGACAAATTCCAGCTCCAATTCATAATTTAAAAAAAAAAACACCAAAAACCCCAGAAAATTGGAATAGATGGTCTTAATCTCAATCTGATAAAAGCCATCTATGACAAACAGCCAACATCATACTAAATGGACAAAAACTGAAAGCTTTCACTGTGAAATCAGGAACAGCACAAAGGAGGTTCACTGTCTCCACTGTTACTCAGCAGAGTCTTGAAAACTTTAGCCAGAGCAATTAGACAAGCAAAAGAAATAAAAGGAATAATGATAGTGAAGAAGTTAAATTATCATTATTTGTAGATGACATGGTATTCTACGTAGAATACCCCAGAAACTCCATTAAAAATCTGTTAGATTAAGTAAACAAATTCAGAAGGGCTGGCAAGATAGCTCAGCAGACTAAGCTTTGGCAAGTGCAGGGACATTGGTTTGATTCCTCATCCCTCATGCCATGCTGGCCTCACCCCCGGGGCATGCTGAGCCTGTGACCCAGTCTGGGCATGGTGATGCACGCCTGTAATCCCAGCACAGGGGAGGCTGAAAATAGGAGGATCACTACAAGTCTGAGCTGTGTAGTGAGACCCTGTACTAAATACAAAAATGAAAATGAATGAATAAGCAAATCCAGTAGCATAACTGAATACAGTGTCAACAAGTTCCAATCAAAAATCAATAACATTACTGTACACAAATAACAAACTCACTGAGAGAAAAATTATGGGAACATCATCATTCATGATAGCATCCCCCCAAAATGAAGTACCGAGTAATCTAACAAGGGGTGTAAAAGATCTCAACATTGAACACTACAGTGCTCTGAAAAAGGTCCAAGAGGGTATCAGAAAATGGAAAGCTGTCCCTTGCTCTTGCGTAGGAAGAACCAATGCAGTGAAAATGGGCACACTTCCAGAACTGTTACACACATTTAATGCAGTTCCAATCAAAAGTCTAACAGTATATCTCACAGAATTGGAAAAAAACAAGTGTTAAATTCATTTGGAACCAGAAGAGACCTAGAATAGCAAAGGCATTTCTGGGCAGCAGAGGCAAGGCAAGGGGTATCACAAGCCCTGATTTGAGATTATACTATAAAGCTACCATGATAAAAGCAGCATTATACTGTTAAAAAAAAGGCCTGAAGATCAGTGGAAGCGATTACAAGATGCAGAAATAACTCCAGAGACACTTAACCACCCAGGGCCAGGGTTACAGCTCAGCGGTGCAGCGCCCACCTACTCACCACCTTGTCTTTGACGAAGTCCCGCACGCATGCACTGGAGGAAAGATAATCTCTCTAATAAGTACTGTGGGAAAAACTGGCTCTGCACATCCAGAGATTAGAATTTGAACTTTAGCCTTCACCATGCAGTAAACTAAATGCAAAATTGAATTTGGGATCAAAGCTCTAAATATTAAAACATTAAATCTGCTGGAAGATAAAATAGGTAAAAATCTTGAAGACATTGGTGTAGGCATAGACGTCATGAATAAA